GACGCCACAGGTGTGGTTCATCTGTTGCCTGGTGTGTGCTGGTCTGTTTGCTTGTTCTCTCGTATTGCCGGATGCTTATAAAGACCATATTTTGGAAGTGCATCTTGGAGCAAAGAAATATAGCACGTAATCAAATGGCTGTACAATCACATATGCTGTACATACTTGTAGATGGATTGTATATATCAATAGCAGGAGTATGCACCGTACAGTGCTACATGGGCAGGAGTGCTATGTGTTGTTTTTGTGCCCTCTAATGGCCATCCACGAGGTACCAGTATTGTCTCGAACGTCCCATTTGAATGTATACTAGAATGGATTGATCCTCAACAGTAAGCTCTTTCATGGTATGTAAATAGTCTGTGCCCCAGACCTTAGATTCAGTATGTGGCTGAGGTTCTTGGCAATCAAGGGAGAAATGTGTAACCAGTGATGACCCCTACTGGCTGAGAGTCTGCGATTAATTCTTTCCCCTCTGGCAATCTTTATGCGTCAGGTTTCTCTTCACCTGGAAAAATAATAATGTTGAACTTGAAAGTAGAAGCATATAATTTTTTCATTTTTACAGCTACGAGAATCTTGTCCTTGAGTCTTTTTTTATTTATTTCTTTTTGCAAATTTGGTTTCCCTCAGTCCAGTGAATTCATTTTCTTTGTTACAGCTTGTGAATGTTTTGCATTATTTCCAGTATATTGTATAATTGGACACAGAGCTGGTGCTCTTGACTGAAGAGGTGGCTCTCTGTAAAAACACTCCTCTGTCCAGTTACTCAAAAAAGAAAGACCCGTCGCGTGACTGAGAGCCCAGAGTGGAGTGAATAGCATCAGAAACACCCGAGTCTGGCTCCCCTACTTTTCCAGGTAGCTGTATCGTTACCCAAATGATGTCTTTCCTCTGTGCCCACAGATTTTTGGGATCATCTTGAGCTGCCTGTTCTGGAACATGCTAGTGGAGATGAGCCAGTCCTTTGATGTGGTGGATTTCCGGGCTCTGCGGCTGTCTGGCATCCAGTATAGCGAGCTGGACCTTTCTGGGGCAGGCTGGTGCCTCTGTCTGCCCCGGGATGGCGGATACTTACCGGTACCGGAGTCTGAGACCTGGGACCCCGAACCTGATCCATATCCTGTCATCGAGAGTGTCCCATCATCGTGTACCGAGACCCAGAGACCACTCTCAGAGTCCCAGGACACCCCAGCGCTTGACGAAGTGGACGTAGGCTTTGAAAAACAGAACTAGAGAATTGGACTTGTTTTTTTTATTATTATTTTAGCATTTTCAGGAAATTTAATAAGATTCCCTTTGATCCATTTCAGCTTTTACAAACTGCAGGCTTTTGTACTGTATGTAGTTGGATATTTCACGTCGCTTATTTTGAATAAATTTGCACAGACAAAATATGTAGTGATATTAATTGTGGGCAATTTGTACAGCAGCCTGCATAGAACTGAAATGGATCAAATGTCTGCACGATGAGAGTCTGATTTCCCTGCTTTTTCAAAAAGCTACCAAAAGGGAAGAAGACTTTCTTGCACTGATGTTTTTGTGTTTGTATGTTCTAATAGTTTTATAAGCTTTATTGCTATTTTAATATGAATAATGTAGTAGTATAGTACCTTCCCCTGCTTAGTAGTTTGTTTTAATTAATTTATTTTCTTCCCTTATCACTCAGGTGAAGACGTTTACAGGGAAGCCTAAAATAACTGATGCAATCTTGAGACTTTAGGAAAATTAAGATTAAGAAGATTAAGAGTTGTGAGATTTTATAAAATATTCTATGAAATATTTTATAAAATAAAGTGATATTTTATAAAACATCACTACTTAATTCACTTAAGGTGCAAATATTTTCAGGTCAGCCTTGAAACTGAGGCTGGGAAGAGTAATCTCAAACCTGGAGGACTTGATTGTTTATGCTAGTGGACAACTGACTTGTTTTAAAAATGCCAAAAAAATGCCTTACCAAAATAATTACAGGGCTGTCAATTTAATCAAAGCCATTTCCTAGAATTAAGTGATTCTAAAAAGGGAATGTGTGTGACACAGACGGGTGTTAATGAGTTTGACTTTTTTTTTTAGAAAGGAAGAAAAGGAAAAAAAAAAGAATTTGCCTTCATTCCTATTAATAGATCAGACATTGTGGTCGTGCCTGTGTCTTTGAATTGCATTAGGATGGAGCTTTAATCCAGAGCTCTTCAAGGTACGTGGTCAAGGCTGAGCTTATGAATCTGGACTGGAGGAAGACCCTCGAGGCTCTCAGTGTTGCAGGGCTCACTTGGAGAAGAGTCTTCAGAACAGTTACAAAAGAGAAGAGGCCATTCATCCTCTCTGGCCTGTTATATAGTTAGTAGCTAGTATATCCAGGGAGCTCATCCAGATGTGTCTTGAAAGAAGTCAAGGTACTGGTTTCAACAAAATGACTGAGTAGTCTGTTCCTGACTCCCACAAGACCTCAGAGCAGTGGGGGCTGGCTAGGTTAGCACACGCTGTAAGCTGAGACTTTTCACTCCCAAGTATGTCATTTCGGACATGTCAGAGAGCGTTTTATGCATGTGCCTAAGTGGTAGATTATGAGAAAAAGAGAAAGCCACAATCGTATCAATTTCCTCCATCCTTCACACATGTGCAATTATTAATTGGTTTCTCTAAATTGATGCTGACGAGTGACCGGCGTCACATCCAGGGTGTGGTCCTGCTTGATGACTTGTACCTCCACT